ACAAATATAAAAAAGTAGAGATACATCCATGCATTTTATCAGATCATAATGGAAAAAAATTGGAAATTAACAACAAAATAAATAATAAAAATTACTCCAACACCTAGGGACTAAACAATATGCCACAGAATGAAAATGGGTTGCACAAGACATCAAAGGGGAGATTAAAAAATTCTTAGAGGTAAATGAGAACATAGACACCACATATCAAAATCTCTGGGACACTATGGAAGCAGTTCTAAGATAAAAGTTCACTGCATGGAGTTTATTCCTTAAAAGAAGAAAAAGTCAACAAATAAATGACCTCACACTACATCTCAAAGCCCTAGAAAAAGAAGAACAAATCAGCAGCAAAAGCAGTAGAAGGCAAGAAATAATTAAAATTAAAGCTGAAATCAATGAAAACAAAAGAAACAATTTTTAAAAACTGACAAAACAAAAAGTTGGTTCTTTGAAAAAATAAATTAAATTGACAGACCCTCAGCTATGCTAACAAAGAGAAGGATAGAGAGAACTCAAATTACCAGCATATGTGATGAAAAGGTAATATCATAATAGACACTACAGAAATACAGAGGGTAATTAGAAATTATTTTGAAAACTTATGCACCAATAAAATAGAAGATATTGAAGGCATCGATAAGTTTCTTAAGTCATGCAACTTGCCCAGATTGAATTAGGGTGATATATACAATTTAAACAGAAAAACATCATGTGATGAAATAGAAGATGCCATCAGAAGCCGACCAACAAAGAAAAGCCCAGGAACGGATGGATACACAGCAGAGTTCTACAAGACCTTTAAAGAAAAACTAATACCAATACTCTTCAATTTATTTCAGGAAATAGAAAAAGAGGCAGTGCTTCCAATATCACCATGATTACAAAACAAGGCAGACACATCAAAGAAAGAAAACTTTAGAACAATATCTCTAATGAATAGATGCAAAAATTCTCAATAAAATTCTGGCAAATCAAATACAAAAACATGTCAAAAAGATAGTGCATCATGATCAAGTGGGATTCATCCCAGGGATGCAAGGTTGGTTCAACATAAGGAAATCAATAAACGTAATTCATCACATCAATAGACTTAAAGATAAGAATCATATGATCATCGCAATAGATGCAGAAAGAGCATTTGACAAAATACAGTACCCCTTCATGTTCAAAACACTAGAAAAACTAGGGATAACAGGAACATATCTCAACACTGTAAACGCTATCTATGCGAAGCCCCAGGCCAACATCATTCATAATGGAGAAAAATTGAAAGCATTCCCTATAAAAACTAGAACAAGACAGGAATGCCCTCTTTCACCACTTCTATTTAACATAGTTCTTGAAACATTGGCCAGAGCAATTAGACAGATGAAAGAGATTAAAGTATACACATAGAAAAAGAAGAACTGAAATTAGCACTATTTGCTGATGATATGATTCTATACCTAGAAGACCCCCCAAAAATTCCACCAGCAAACTTCTAGAATTAGTAAATGAACTCAATGAATTCAGCAAAGTAGCAGGATATAAAATCAACACCATAAATCAAAGGCATTTCTGTGTATCAGTGACAAATCCTCTGAAAGGGAAATGAGGAAAACTGTCCCATTTACAATAGCCTTAAAAAAAATAAAATACTTGGGAATCAACTTAATGAAAGAGTTGAAAGATCTATACAATGAAAACTAAAGAACCCCAAAATAAGAAATTAAAAAAGACCTTAAAAGATGGAAAGATCTACCTTGCTCTTGGATAGAACAAATTAATATTATCAAAATGACCATACTACCAAAAGCACTGTACAGATTTAATGCATTTTCAATCAAAACCCTATGGCATTCCTCACATAAATAAAAAAAAAAGCAGTCATGAAATTCATCTGGAAAAATAAGAGACCCAGAATAGCTAAAACAATCCTTAGCAGGAAGAGTGAAGCAGGTGGCATCACTATACCAGACCTCAAACTATACTACAGAGCAATAGTAACAAAAACAGCATTGTATTGGCACCAAAACAGACTGGTAGACCAACGGTACAGAATAAAGGACACAGAGACTAACCCACAAAATTACAATTATCTTATATTGGACAAAGGAGCCAAAAACATGCACTGGAGAAAAGATAGCCTCTTCAACAAATGATGCTGGGAAAACTGGAAATTTATATGCAACAAAATGAAATTAAACCCTATCTCTCACCATGCACAAAACTCAACTCAAAGTGTATCAAGAATGTAGGAATTAAACCGGAGACTCTCTGTCTAATAGAAGAAAAAGTAGGCCCTAATCTTCATCATGTGGGTTTGGGCCCCAACTTCCTTAATAAGACTCCTATAGCACAAGAACTAAAACCAAGAATCAATAAATGGGATGGACTCAAACTAAGAAGTTTTTTCTCAGCAAAAGAAACAATCTGTGAGGTGAACAGAGAGCCCACATCCTGGGAGCAAATTTATACCCCTCACACATCAGATAGATCAGATAGAGCACTAATCTCTAGGGTATATAAAGAACTCAAAAAGCTAAGCACCAAAAAAACAATAACCCAATCAATAAATGGGCCAAGGACCTGAACAAATACTTCTCAGAAGAGGATACACAATCAATCAACAAATATATGAAAAAATGCTCATCATCTCTAGCAATCAAAGAAATACAAATCAAAACTACTCTAAGATATCATCTCGATACAGTCAGAATGGCAGCTATTATGAAAACAAACAACAATAGTGTTGGCAAGCATGTGGACGAAAAGGCATACTCATACATTGCTGGTGGGACTGCAAATTGGTGCAGCCAAAATGGAAAGCAGTATGGAGATTCCTTGGAAAACTGGGAATGGAACCATCATTTGACCCAGCTATCCCTCTCCTTGGTCTATACACAAAGGACTTAAAAACAGCATACTTCAGGGACACAGCCACATCAATGTTTATAGCAGCACAATTCACAATAGCTAAACTGTGGAACCAACCTAGATACCCTTCAGTAGATGAATGGATTAAAAAATGTTGCATATATACACAATGGAATATTACTCAGAAATAAAAGTGAATAAAATCATGGCATTTTCAGGTAAATGGATGGAGTTGGAGAAGATAATTCTAAGGGAAGTTAGCCAACCCCCCCCCCCAAAAAAAAAAACAAATGGTGAATGTTTTCTCTGATATAAGGAGGCTAACTCATAGTGGGGTAGGGAGAGGGACCATGGGAGGAATAGATGAATTCTAGATAGGGCAGAAGGGAGACAGGGAAAAGGAGGGGGCAGGGATTTAGCAATGATGGTGGAATGTGATGGACATCATTATCCAAAGTACATGTATGAAGACATGTGTGTGAGAGAGAGAGAGAGAAACAAGCAGAATTCACAGATCCAAGATCAGCAGGGTGACTTAACAAGGTCTCCAGAGATTCAGGAGAGTATCTGGTGTAATTCCAGTCTAAAAACCAGCAGACTTGAGACCAGGAAGAACCAACCTTTCAGTTTCAATGTAAAAGCAGGAAAAAGCTGATGTTCTGTTTTAAAGTCAATCAGATAGAAAGAATTCCCTCGGGAGATGGTCAACCTTTTAGTTTTATTCAGGTCTTCAGCCCACTCTTATTATGGAGAGTAGTATTCTTTATTCATTCTACCTTATTAAAGATCAACCTCATCAGCATTCTGTAATCCAATCAAGTTAACACATGAAATTAACAATCACACTTACCTGAAGTGGTCTTTGAGTTAACTACTTTGTCTGCCATATACCATTTCTGTTATGGGGAAAAAATTGTTACATGTAAAGTTCAAAATGAAAAATGCAACTCATAGTAGAAGACACAGTAGTTTTAAGAAAGAATAAAGGCAGCTAACCTAATTGTAAAATCTTCTTTGGCTGTAATTGATTTCAATTTCATTTTGCCCTTTCATGATTCCCTAAGCTGTGATGTGGCCAACGGAAGGGAGTATAGCAAAGTGGTTAAGTATGTGGACAACCCATATCTGCCTGTCGCTGATGCAGCAGAACCTGTATGTGCCTCAAGTGAGTACCCTCCCACACACACATACACACACAACACAAACACACAGACATATTCCTCCATGTATCTTGTAAAAGTAAGTACTGCTAGGAATGCTAGCACATTAATATATAGCTTATAATGACTATATTGGGTTAAACATGTAATTTACAATGCTGGATTGTTCTCTCTCTCTCTCTCTCTCTCTCTCTCTCTCTCTCTCTCTCTCTCT